CTACACACCAGGGTCTGGCCCAGGTCCACTGGTGGAGTTCAAAGTGCTAGAGTTAAAATGGCACAAACTCTGCATCATCCCCATCTGCTGCAGCATAGCGCTGTGTGCTGAAGCTATCCCAGGTGGAGTCTGCCAAGCCAGATGCAGCAGCACAAGCCCCATGTTGGCACAGGAGTCCCTGAAGGCAAGACTCAAAGTGGAGGGGGGGGAGAGAGGAGCAGCTGCACCCAGAGCCTGACTCCTGCCAACCCAGCATCCCACTATGGGGCCTCACCCCCCATGCCCAGGGCTCCCACTGAGCCTGCCAGCCCACACCTTGTACAGGCATCCACACCCAGGCAAAGCAAGGCTAGCTAGCAGGGCAGTGCTTGGCACTGATGACAAAAGCCAGGCACCAGGCCAGCACACTACCGTCCCGCCTGGCTCAGCTGAGGCTGCTTGCCTGACCAGGATGGTTTTAATCCAGGTCCAGACCCCACTTGGGCCCAGCTGAGCAGGAGTTTAACAGAGCTGACTCAGGCCAGGGTTGGCTTTTCCCTCAGTGCCACACCCTGGGGCCAGGCTACACCAACCAGGGGCAGCCTTGCCCCACACCCAGAGGGAGAGCCTTGTAGCCCGGCTCTCACTCAGACAGGCCTTGGCTGGTGGCCTTGGGTTCCTGGCCCAGACTGGTCAGTTGTTAGAGCAACGCGAGTGTAAATATTTGCTGGAGGCGGCGGCGGTTCCATGTGGTTGGTGAGTGCTGCCAATGCCTTCGATATCAGAATCTGCAAACAGCCAGCACAGGCTGTGCCAGCAGGAGGGGGCCACGCAGCAGACCCAGCCTGGCTGGGGGAAGGAGGAGGAAGGGGAGGGGCGTGCACACCACACACTGGCTGTGCTTTGCCTGGACCCAGGAGCTGGAACAGAGCTGTGTGTGTGAGAGTGGGAGGCACATAGCCAGCTTAACTTGGGGTCCAGGTCACCCTACTGCAGCTCCTCAGAGGGGTAGGGTGCCTGCACCTCCTGCTTAAGAGAGCCCACTATGTGCCCCTTGTCTCAGGGGTGGAAAGCCTGTTCACAGGAGCCAGGCAGGTACGTTCCAGCAGGAGCTCCTAGATATATACTGGTGAGACCAAGGGGCTGTCTGGGCTGGCCCCACGCTGTGCTGGCTACATGGAATGGGCATGGCCAGGGGCTGCTTGGTGCTACTTCACAGCACATACTGAAACTGGATTAAGACAAATACTCAAGGGTAGGGGTGGGCCAGTGTAGCACATCACTTTCCCATAAGAACTGGGGTCACCACATGATAGTAGGCAGCAAATTGAACACAAAACAAAAGGAAGTTTTTCTTCACTCAGCCCACAACCAACCTGTGGAACTCCTTGCCAGAGGATGTTGTAAAGGCCAGGACTTTAAACAGAGTTAACAAAAAAAAGCTAGGTACATTCGTGGAGGATAGGTCCATCAATATTAGCCAAGATGGGTAGGAATGGTGTCCCTAGCACTTGTGTGTGTCAGAAGCTGGGAATGGGTCACTTGACTCCCTCTCCTAGTCACTCCCTCTAGGGCACCTGGCATTGGTCACTCTCAGAAGACAGGATGCTGGGTTAAATGGACCTTTGGTCTCACGCAGTATGGCCATTCTTACACTTCCTAGAATTCAGACCTCCCCCTGGGCAAGCAGAAGACTGGGAACCCCAGGCTGCCAGCTTGTGTCAGGTCCTGTGGGTACCCACTCCTCTTCAGCAGAAGGCCAAAGGCAGCAAGACAACTCCAACTTCAAACTGGCTCTGCTCCTGAGCCCTAGGAGAACCAGGCATCCTCCCCCTCGGATCTTAAAGCTTGCAATTACCACCCACTGCTCAATATACCAACCCCATGGGCTCCTGGCTAGCTCTCCAGGGTTGGGCTGGAACCCAGGCCCACCTGTTCTTTGGAAGGCCTGAGGCAGGGGTGCTGGAACAGTTTGTGTAGTGGGAGTTCTAAGAGCCAGGGAACCAAACTAAACCAGGTATACGGTTGAAAGCTTTTCAAGCCAGGGGTTGCCACAGCACCCCCCGTTTAGCACCTCTGGTTGGAGCCATAGTAGGTAGGGCAGGGGCTGGCTCCAGGGAGTAGGGCAAAGGGACTGTGGGTCTTCATGGAGCTCCAGTTAGCCCCCACCTCTGCTGGTGCTGCACAGCCCCCAGCTCCAGGCAATAGAGTGCTCTGATCCAGCAGGATCTTGGCAGGGAGCTTGCCCTGAGCCCTGGTCACAAAACAACCCTTGTTCCCACCCAAGCTGGGTGTGGGCGGGCGCTGTGCTAATGTCGTTAACCTTCCACTCCTCAACAATGGTTGGGGCTGCCCTTCCGAGCCCAGAAGGGGATGGGGCAACAGATCAAGACAGGACTTTGTGCCGCCCACTCTGTGGAGCTCCTGCTGCCGTGGCTAGTAGGCCAAATTCCTCCCCCCCCCCCCAAGTCCCAGCTGCACCAATCAAGGGGCATAGCCCAGCACGCTGATTATTTTCAGGAATAACAGTATTGCACAAGAGGTTTTTTTTTTAAAAGGCTAACAAAACATGTAAATGGCATCAGGAACTTTGTGGGTTGTGCCCACGACAGCTCCTGATAACATGTAGCTGGTAAGTCTTTAAGGAGTTGCGAGACTGTTTGTCTAAGTTTTTAGTTTTACCATAATAGCCATTAGGCTGGAGGCTGCTGCTTGTAACCCTTACACCAAGCTCATGTTTGACCCTATCTTGGATACTTCCTCTTCTTGTAGAGGAGGCAGGCCCATGGCACAGGCTAGGCAGGGGGCCTCACCCAATCCATCTGCTCAAAGGTAAAGGGCTGCTGTCATGCATGAGCAGGTGTCTTTCAGACTGCCCCCACTGCAGCAGTCAATGCCCAGCAACGGCAGGCTGATCCTCTGCCTGTCAGGGGACCTCTGATGCTGTCCTGGTCAGGGGAAGTGGGGCCAATAGGAGGAACCAGCTTGTCTCCATCCCCACTCACTCCATCCAGTGCAGAGGGACCCTTGCCTCGTAGTCCAGAGGCTAACCCTTCCCACGTTCCCCTCCCCTGCAGCCAAGCAGGACTCATGTGGTCATTTCCCCTCTGCTGTAGGCTTAGCAGGTGGGCACATGAAGCAGCCCCCCCCCCCATCCAGTGCAGAGGGACCCTTGCCTCGTAGTCCAGAGGCTAACCCTTCCCACGTTCCCCTCCCCTGCAGCCAAGCAGGACTCATGTGGTCATTTCCCCTCTGCTGTAGGCTTAGCAGGTGGGCACATGAAGCAGCTTGGACACCAGCCCTCCCCCCCCCCCCCCCCCCCACCC